GGCGCCTGTGGCTCGCTTCAGCGAATCAGCTCAAACAATATCAGTTTGAATTTCGCGCTCTTTGCGAGCGTGGGGCGGCTGCGGCTACAGCGCCCGTGGCTTCACTCTCCGTGACTTACAGCTCTTTGAATAAACGCGTCTGGTTAGCCTTCGACCATCCCACCCTCGTCGCCAGTGTTGTGGAGCGATGGTAAGGAAGAGGCATGAGACCAGAGCGTACAACTAACAGGCTTTATTGCAAGGAATAAAGGGTTGTCGCGTCTGCTTGCTAACTTGCAGACCAGCGGGCGACAACGGCTGGCTCTGCTCGACAACTGGCTTATATAGCCGACTGTCAAACGGAGCCAACCAATGGGAGCTGCTGGTGCTCCCGCTCAAACAGCGGACCTGGTTGGGGACCCCAACCAGTTCCACAGACATAACACTTTCTCTTTCTTTCTTTCTTTCTTTCTTTCTTTCTTTCTTTCTTTCTTTCTTTCTTTCTTTCTTTCTTTCTTTCTTTCTTCTTTCTTTCTTTCTTTCTTTATGCATTTGCAATGTTTGAGTGACATGGCCATAGGTGTATATTACAGGCCACCCAATCAAGCAGAAAAAATAGATGTCCTTTTTGCCAGCCAACTAACAAACATATGCAGGAAACACACAACAATAGTAATGGGAGACTCCTGATATCAGTTGGAAAACTAATTCTGCACCAAGTGAGAAATCAAACAAGTTCCTAACCAACATAGCTGACAACTTTGTTGTCCAAAAGGTAGAGGGTGAAACTAGAGGAACAGCCGTACTGGACTTAATTCTTACAAACAGAGAAGAAGTAATAGAGGGAGTTGAAACTGCAGGAACCTTGGGTGAGAGTGACCATGTCATACTAGAATTCAACATAATACAAACACAAGCAACAGAACATAATAATACCAGAGTCTTGGATTTTAAAAGAGCTGATTTCAATCAACTCAGAGAGAACTTGGGAAATATTCCACGGATGAAAATCCTAAAGGGGAAAACAACTCAAGAATCATGGGAAACTCTAAAAAGTATTATCATAGAAGCCCAGACCAGCACAATACCACTGAGAAAGAAAAACAAGAAATCCAAGAAGATTGATAGAGGAATAAAGTTGCCAGCTTGAGGAAATGGACTACCTAGAACAGGGGTGTCAAATTCACATCGTCATGGCGGCATCATGTGACAAATCGGGACTTTTTCCTCCTTCACTAAACCAGGCATGGGTGTGGTCAGCACGTGACACATCTGTAAGTTTGACAGCCCTGACCTAGAAGAACAGTAGAATCTCTCTCTTCTGTTCTCCTGCTTTAATATGCAGCCATGCCCATCCAATGATCAATTGTCTGGCAACATGATTTGAAAACAGATTTATTGTTTTCTGAAAAAGGAGTAAAGCATGCAGCTGACAGGTGATTGAATGGGGGATACTATATCATAAGGTGGAAGAGTCAATTCATTCAAAACTCTCTGAAAGAGTCAACTATCCCATTAACTATGTGATTTCCTGATTTAGTCAAGTTGCAGTCCATCTCTGATATTCCTGTCTCATTTAAACAAAATAGGACCAGTGACATGTACCCTGGACCTGGTAGAGTATGTGGGTTCAGCACTAGGCCAAAGTGCCAATAGATTATGGGCTAATTCTACCCACAAACACAAACTCACTGATCAATAGTGACAACTGATCACCTAACTTTGCTGCTGCTAGGTGGATTTGGCAAATTGACATGTAATTCTCTTCCTGAAACAGCTACTGGTTGCTCTCAAAGGGAAAACACAGGCCTAGCTAACCCAGGGGTGTCAAACTCACATTGTCATGGCAGCATCACATGAAGTATTGGGACTTTCTTCCCATTTGCTAAACTGGGAGTGGGCAGATGCATCACACACTGGCCTGTGGGCTGGGAGTTTGATAGCCCTGAGCTAACCAAAGACTAAGGCTATCTAATGCATGGGCTGAATAGACAATGAGGGCAACTTAATGGGGACTTAGAAGAATAAAGGGGTCAGCAGGAAGCATTTTCACAATGGTAAGATGCAAATGAGAAAAAGCCCAGTAAAAGAAGGAATAGAGGTTAACAAGAGCAAAGAAAAATGGCATTATCTGAAAAATCCTAGCTATGTGAAAACTGAAGCGCAAAGTCAAATAAAAAAAACTGTCACAGACAATGGAGGGGATCTATCTAAGGAGATCCATAGCAGATGAAACAGTTATCAAAAGATGTTCCAGCCAATTGAAGGGAACATGGTGTTTTTAGGACTCCCAGTTTGGCACCTGACTGATAGAGCAGAAAAGCAACTTCTGACAGAAGAAAATCCCAAAAGGAATGGAAATGTTGGCAGTCAATAAGAATAAACAAGTGATCTGTTTCCTTTCTTTGGAGGAATACAGGAAAAGTGTTTATTTCAGTGTTTTATTCTGACAATTTTTAGCATACATTCTAACATGTCAGCTCTGCTACTAAAGAGAATAAGTCAGTGGTGTCTGGAAGCTAAGGTTGGCTGAGGGATATTGGAGGTCAAGGCTCTTTGTGCCTATTAGCTTAAATCAAATCATAACTTCAAATTTCAAATCTCCAGTTCAAGTCAGTTGGTGCAGTTTGTGTAGACATAATAAAATGCACAGTAAACAGTATCAAACAGGCTTGCAAATAAATCAGCTAAATATAGGTATTAAATATAGGTATATATAGGTATATATTGGGGCACTGCTATCATGTCTCCCCTGGTCCTTCTCTTCACTAGACTAGCCATGTTCAGTTTCTGCAACCGTTCATCATATGTTTTAGCCTCCACTCCTCTAATCGTCATGGTTGCTTTTATATCTAGTGAACCTTAGTGTTTTGTGGGTACATTTTGTGTCCTATTGTACTCATATCTTGCCTTCATACATAAGGAAATTGATTAAAATCCTCACCTTTCAACAAGTTAATCATACTTAGAAGTCTTTTATAAATAAGCAATGCATGCAAGCTCTGAGATAAAAAAAGACCTTTCACATACATTTTGCAAAATGGGACGAAGTTTAAGATAGAAGATCATCCTTTTTAAAGAATCAGTTCCTTGTGTATTCTTAAAGCCTCTCTGCATATATTCTTCTTCTGTGATGCATCACTTTCAACCAAATGAGCATATGATTATACATCCCCAAAATGCACATTAGCCCCTGCGAACTGGCAGTTGAAGAGGTCTGTCTCTATTTCCACATGTTAGTAACTTGACAGCTACAAAATGTACATTAAGAATTTGAACAGAGGTATTCTTTGAAGGGAATTCTTTCACAGATATTCTAAATAAATAATAAGTATTTTGGGATGTATAATCATATTGTATCCAGTTTTGGTCTCTATGTTATAAAAAGGATGTTGACATTCTAGAAAAAAGTATAGGGAGCCGGAAGCTAAACGGTTGCAGGAATTGGGTATGTCTATTTTAATGAAAAAAGGACTAGGGGTGATCTAAGGGGCTGCCACAAAGAAGAGGGGGTCAACATATTCTCCAAAGCTCTTGAAGGCAGGACAAGAAACAATGGATGGAAACTAATCAAGGACAGAAGCAACTTAGAACTAACAAGAAGTTCTGTTAAATAACAATATTGTTAAATAACAATATTGCAACCCAACAGGACAGACACAGACTTCAAAGGATAATTAGGACTGCAGAAAAAACAATTGCTACTAACCTGCCTTCAATCGAGGACCTATATACTGCACAAGTCAAAAAAGAGGGCTGTGAAAATATTTATAGACCCCTCACATCCCAGACATAAACTGTTTCAACTCCTTCCCTCAAAACAACGCTATTGAGCACTGCACACCAATGCTATCACTCTGCTAAACAAATAATTCCCTCAACATTGTTCAACTATTACAAAGTCTGCACTACTATTACTGTTAATCTTCTCATCACTCCTTATCACCCATCCCCTCCCACATGTGACTGTATGACTGTAATTTTTTCACTTGTATCCTTACAATTTATATTGATTGTTTTGTAGTTATGATTTGATTTCTTATTGTACCCTATGACTATCATTAAGTGTTGTACCTTATGATTCTTGACTTTTGATGAATGTATATTTTCTTTATGTATACTGAGAATATTTGCACCAAGACAAATTCCTTGTGTGTTCAATCACACTTGGCCAACAAAGAATTCTATTCTATTCTATTCTATTCTATTCTATTCTATTCTATTCTATTCTATTCTATTCTATTCTAGTCTAGTCTAGTCTAGTCTAGTCTAGTCTAGTCTAGTCTATAAGAGAGTTTCACACACATTACAGTACCACCCACTAAAAATGATAGATAAATTTATTTGACTGCCACAAATAAATCTAATTATTTTTTTGGAGTCAGAATTGGGCCAAAAGTAAATATGCCACTCTGATTCAAGTCTGATGAACTTTTCAAAATCTGGGATAGGTAGCTGCTTTTTGTGACTTTCATAAGCAAAAAGAAAAACAAAGACAACAGCAAAATGTGTCTGCATTCCCACTCCTGGTCAGCTTGGAAAAAGAAAATTTTCGTGACCAAAAGAAAATCCTAGAAATTCTGACCCACAGTTTGAGAAACTCCACCTTTGATCATAAATCAGACCTCCCCCAAATTTACCACTTTTGTACCACCTGTATAAAAAAAAACTTCTAATAAAGGATAATCCATATTATATATTTTATAACAGTGATACCCATGCCAACTCACTAAACCGATCTAAAATTAAGGGTGCCTAGCATTTCCCAAATATGTTAACATATCAATGTGGAGAAACATTAGTAATTTCAGGAATGAAAGTGCAGCATTCAAAATAGAGCAAGCAAAGCATGGCTCTAATTCCAACTCACCCACCTAAAAGTGCATGTTTTATTTGTCTAAAAATGCAGGAAGATCGTGTTTTCCCTTCATATGGGAACTAAAACAGAAGAGGCTAAGTAAACAAAACCACCAAGTAAAAACAGTTACATTTCCTTCTTCTCAGGGTGAACTTTTACCTACCTTATCTAAAGGTGAGACTAGTAAGCAGATTTTATGACCGCAGGAAAGGAGCGTGTTCTTTCTAATGGATTTATAGTTAGTCTGATTTTAAGACTCAAGGATAGTCAGAATGCATCAGCAGGCAGCAATCAGATCACCATTCCAACCGCTAGCTAAAAATAGCATCCTCTGGGCAAACATTTAGAAAAGTATGAAGTCCAATAATTGTATAATAGCACGGTCACAGTCCTACATGGTATTGCTAATTCCAAATTGAGAGTACATTACATTTCAAAACTAATAATGATTGACATATTTCCCCAAATTTTACAGGTAAATCTGGCCCCAGTATGAATTTTCTTTTACAAAGGAGAACATTTCATAGAATAATAGTTAATATATTAATATATATTCTATATATTAACATTATGAATTCGGATAGAGAAATGGACATCGCCAATGAATTCGGAGCACATGGATATGTTTAGGAGGGCACTGACTTATCAACACTGGTTTATTGCCTTTCCTGGAAAAATATATGGAACAATCCCATTGGTGGGAAAATCCAGTTAGGATTAGACCTCCATGAATTTTTCTGTCAGAATTCATTGGATCCTAATCCTAACCCTAGGTGTGATTTTTCCATGTATTTTGCCAGGAAAGTCAGATAGGCCAGATTTGAAAAGTTAGTGCCCTCCTAAAAACACAAATGTGCCCGAATACATTGGTGATGTCCATATTTTTCACTGAATTGACTAGTACTGCCACAGACTTTTCAACTTTGCCTCATCCCCATTTCCTAACCCTAAGTGGATTTTTAAGAAGTATGAGTAGGAGAAAACTGATTTTCGACTCTGGCTCATTTTCATTTCCTAACCTTAAGTGGATTTTCCTGCCAACAGGATTTTCCCATGCATTTTACCAGGAAATGAAGATGAGCCAGACTCGAAAAGTCAGTGCCCTCTTAAAAATGCTCATGTGGTGATGTCAACTTTTCTGTCTGAATTCATGGGGGCCTAACTCTAACCCTAAGTGGATTTTCCAGCCAATGAGATTATTCGATGTATTTTACTAGGAAATGCAGATAAGTCAGTGTCGAAAAGTCAGTGCCCTCCTAAACATATATATGAGTTCCGAAATCATTGGCAATGTCGATTTTTCTGTCTGAATTCATGGAGGCCTAACCGTAACCCTAAGTGGATTTTCCCATCAATGGGATTTTTCTATGTCTTTTACCATGAAATGCAGATAAGCCAGACTCAACAAGTTAGTGCCCTTGTAAACATACCCATGCACTCCGAATTTGTTGGGGATGTCCATTTTTCTGTCCCTATTCATGGAGGCCAAACCCTAACCCTAAGTGGAGTTTCCTGCCAATGGGATTTTTCCATGCTTTTTATTAGGAAGTGGGGATGAGCTAGACTTGAAACGTCAGTGCCCTCTTAAAAATACCCATGTGCTGCAAGTTCACTGCCAGCTATTCTGAGAGTTAAAGTCCACAAATCTTAAAATTGCCAAGTTTGGAGACCTCTGGACTAGAAGATCTGCAAGATCCCTTCCAACTCTTGTTAGTTTGTTTTATTTTTTTTTAAAAAAAGTTCTTTAAACTGCTAGTTAGCTTTTATTCTATTGGGAGGCAGTTTTACTTAGCAGGTCCCCCCCCCAAAAAAGTTATTCTTTGAAAGACCTTTTTAAATTAAAATAATTATAAATCAAAACGTGATTAGAAAGTGAAGTGGATGAACCTAGTGTCCTTCAAAGGCTTCACCTCAGTTGAGAGCTTGATGGTTCCCCTGTGTGGAAACCTTCCTGTACTCTTCTTGCATGAAGCAGATGCCCAGAGCACAATTAGGCCATTTTTTTTTCAGGTCTTGTACTTTGTGTTTCTTTCAGCTTCTGCCAACCACCAAAAATGTTGCAGTAAAACAGTGGGATTCAATTTTTTTAACTACCGGTTCTGTGGGCGTGGCTTGGTGGGCATGGCAGGGGAAGGATACTGTAAAATCTCCAGTCAGAGGTGGTATTTGCTGGTTCTCTGAACTACTCAAAATTTCTTCCTACCGGTTCTCCAGAACTGGTCAGAACCTGCTGAATACTACCTCCGATAATGAAGTGAATGCTGAAGAGAGCAAGGCAGACATCCTTTTGGGAAAGAGTTTATTTTCTGCTTATGACCCTGTAGTCCAGGGGTGGGATTCAAATTTTTTAACAACTGGTTCTGTGGGCGTGGCTTAGGGGGTGGGCATGGCTTGGTCATGTGACTGGGTAGACATGGCTTGGTGGTCATGTTATTGGCTGGGTGTGGCTAATATCACTCACATCAAGGCATGCATCTCCTCACCTGGCATCTCATGACCGTGGGGATGCTTCAACAGTCGTAAGTGAGAAAAATGGTCAAAAGTCAATTTTTTCAGTGCCATTGTAGCTTTGAATGGTCACTCCATACAAGCAAAGTACCAGCAAAGGAGGGGAAAAAAAACTCCAGAGACGTTCTTGAGATAGGAAGTCTAGTCCTGCCAAGAATGTAATAAGGGTTAATGGAGAGACAGTTTCTGTAAGCAACATCAGAATGTTTCCTTCCTGCCTTCCTTACAGGATTAGGCCAGTAATTTCTTCTAACAACCAGTTATCCAAACTGCTTAGAATGTTAACAACTGGTTCTAGCAAATAGGTTGGAACTGGTAGAATCCCACTGTAGTCCCTTTTTATTAGGGTGGAGTAAGGACGACTGAATGGAGATGAGTGTTTACTGGTTTACTTCCTGTCACCTACATGGAGTTCACAGCAGATATGTTCTCTTTGAGGCTTGATAAATATCTGTCAGTGCCTAGGATTGAACTCTCAACCTCCTGAGTTTGAGGCGAACATCTTCACCTCTAGGCCACTGTGCTGCTCCCTTTTGAAAAAGATTGATTGGTTTAGAAAAAACAGTTGAAAACCTGGGCTCTAGTTAAGAAACAGCAACTTGCATGTTTGTGTATTTTGTCACAAGAAGTCAGTGATGGTGGACCTTAGGATGCCCAGGCCTGATTTATAGACAGAATTGTGGATGGTGTGTGTGTTTGTAGCTGTATCTTTCTTTTCTGAAGGGCAGAGCAAGCTTAGGTTTTGTTTATTCAGTTTCTCTTTAAAGATAAATACATTTATAGTTCATTTTTAAAATGTCCCTCTATGAGTTCATTGACTTGAACCGGATCTTTGGTTTCACACAAAGGAGGATTCTTTTTAAAATTCAGCCACATAAATTTAATATTGCAAAAGTTGATGTGTATATGTAAATAGTAGATTTTTTTTTAAAGTTACAATAAATATAAGCATTAAAAGTCTTTTATAGTGTTCGGAAGCCCAGAAACAATAAAAGCAATAAGTAACCTACATGAGTTATCAAAGGATCAAGTTATTCATTAACACTAAATTGCCAAGCCATAAACAACTACGTGTCTGCTGTATGTCATACTGTATGTCATACTATATTGCAACATATTGCAAAAAAATGCAGACAGACGTAATTAGATTATCTTTTAAAAAGGCTTGCATCTATATAATAACCCTAACCCTGAGTTAAATCTACAACCTATCTATATTTTTTCATACAAATATATCCAATTTCATTTAAGCTCAGTATTCGCGTTTACAGTATTTATATATTTCATTAATTCTATCAAACACTTCATAATGTACCAGGAAACCCAGTTTTGTGCCCTTGGTCTGCATGGAGAAGAAACAGAGGAAAGTGTAAATGAAAAGTGTGCATTTCTCATAATTCCACATACTTTAATACCTGTGTGCATTAGCTTGTTTTAATGACTTTGCAGATAAATGTCTGCTTAGCATCTATTAATATTAAATATGTTATGTTGATATGACAGTATCTTGATAGAAGAAAATGCAAAGGATCTGCGAGGCCTAGTATTAAAAGTCAAGGAATACACTGAAAACCCGACTAGTGTTGGAGATGACACCTGAGAATACCATGAACAGCTAAGAAAACAAACGAATATATCACTGAACAAATTAATCTAGAGTTCTCAGTCACGACACAAATGAAGGGGCTCTAATTATTCTACTTCAGACCCATACTGCAAAAACTTAGTTCTTTGCAGAAAAGTCTAATGCTGAGAAAGGTAAAATGAAAGAAAAGAGGATGACCAGCAACAAGATGAAGAGACAATGAATGCACATTTGAAGATCTGAGGACCAAATTAGGGACAGATAATTATAGAGAAAATCTGTGTTGTCACTGAGAATTCATATCCTGGTGTATCATCATTATCATCATCATCAATATTCAATAAATGGCAAAATGCTACATTTAAGATTCAACTGTTGACATAAACTAGTATTTAATATTTGGCTATATTGGATATTTGGCTGCATGAATTTTATTTTGTCGATCTCAAATGTTACATTTTGCTTGTGCCTACCAAATAAAAATAGCTAAGAAGCAATAGCAAACATTTAGATAAAACCCAGGTTATTTTCAAATGTTAAATGGAACAACTAGAAATTCTGATAAATTCATATAACAAGTTTGATTTTCCTCACTTTCTAAAGACAAAGTCCTATCCAGGATATCTTGGTCAGGATAACTGTAATAAGATAAGAAATGCAAAAAGCCAATAACTGACAGAAGAATTTGTAGGCAATCCCAAATCCAAGATTTAAGCAGATAAAGAATGTACAAAATCAAAGTCCAAAATATATGTCCCCGCCAAAAAAATCAAGAATTCTGGTATCAATGTAATCAAGAAATTGTGGGACCATCATTTGGCGTTTTGACACTAGGCCTGCAAGGATGACGGCTTTGCTTCCAGTGTCAACCATCAAGTCATTTAGAACAGGGGTCACCAACCTTTTGGACTTCAGGGACCACCAAACTCATAATTTTAAATCCCGTGGACCAGAGATCCTGGGAAAATTCCATAAGAAGTCTTCAGGAAAATTCCCCACCCCTTTCCTACTGATCAATCATTCTTTATTTGGGATTGCAGGATACTGTTCCAACTCCCTTCTTAGGGAGAGAGAGAGAGAGAGAGAGAGAGAGACTGACTTTTGGCTTCATGCAAGGAAAACAGCAGAAGCAGAAGAAGTCTTTCTTTCTGTTATGTCCTGAGGACTCAAGGAGTTCTCACTCAGGTCCACTCACTTTATGTGGGCGTTATTCCCCCATTCCCATTGGTTGGTTCTCCCCAGCAGCCAGCTATAAAAGCAGGCTGCGGGGTCCAACCGGTTGCTGATTGCTGCGAGCCAGTTCCAGGCTTGGCAAGCACGGTCAGCCCTTTATTTGTAAAATAAAGTACTGTTGCACTCATGCTCTGGTTCAGCCTCTCATTGCTCAAACTTAACACTTTCTATCCCCCAAACTCCACAAGAAATGAGTCTTAGCAAAATCTTTGTGAGACTTGTCTGGCACAGCCTTTTGGAGCAGGATGCCTTGCAGGGTCCCAAAGACTCATGGGGGAGAGAGAAAAAAAAGACTTTTGCTGCTTTCCTTGCATGCAGCTAAAAGCAGAAGAAAGAAGCAGAAGGAAGCAGCCCGGTGGCCAGATGAGGCAGGTGTGGCGAGTGGGCAAGTTCCCCTCCTCCACCCTTTCCCCCTTCCCCTCACTACCTTGTGTTGTTCGCAGTGGAAGCAACGCAAGCCTTGTGTTCCCACAGGTCATGTGGGCGGCACAGCCTTGTGTTCCCCACGCAGCCTGGATTAATTGCTTTGGGAAGTACTTTGGGGGTAACATTTCTCTGCGGACCACCAAAATTTTCTCGTGGACCACCAGTAGTCTCTGGCCCACTGGTTGGTGACCACTGATTTAGAATAAAGTCCTCCTTTGTGCTAAAGTTCTGTTACTGAATGGAACTTTCATTGCTCATATTCCCTTATGATCTACTTGCTTAACAGCTGTCCTAAATTATGGCAGTCTCCCCAAAAGCTACTTATGACCAGGTCCCAAAATTACAGCTGCTACAGCACCCCCATGTTCATTTGCCCTAACAATCAACTGCAGAGATGATACAATGCCTCCTTCTACCCACCTCCTTCCCCCACCATCACCTGCAAACATTTCCCCAACAGCTTTCAACTGGACTTAGGCCTGATCCCTACTAGGCCCCATACATTCCTTCTCAATTACCTATGTTTCTAGTAGGCAAATTGCATTCTGGGAGCTGTATATATCACCGCTGCTTCTGGAATCATGCCACACAGTCATGTAATGAAGCACTCTTAAAGTTCTCAGAGCTTTCCAAAAGGTAGAGGGTATTTGGCTTGGTGGGAAGGAATCAGGCCTAAAGCTTTGGAGCGGGGTGTAATGGGGGTGGGAAAAGACCTGTGGGGATCCAAGAGGCAAGAAACAGAGCACAGGGTATCATGTCATGGGGAGGGACTTGGGAAGGGCAGGCAGTGAACCTGGGCCTATGGTAAGCCTCCAAGGGCTTCCCCCGAACTTTGAGGCACCCTGTGTTTCACTTAACAACTGCATGTTTATTTAATGATTGTATTGGGAGAGCACGGATGGAAGATCATTAAGTGAGGTGCTTCACTAAACAGCCATTGCAACATGCAACTTTAATGGGAAGGCTTATTATAGCCGTCTCTCAAGGACTAGCTGTATTGCTAATTTACCAAATCATCTTGGTATCACACATCTGATTTAATAGAGTCCTATGAAGAAAAAAAACTTGTGGAAGTCAAATATTAAGACAGCTTTGGACATAAAATTTAAAAGTGTTGGCAAATTGGTTCAGTTCTACTGACCAAAAGTATAACAGAATAATACATTAATTAATTCAAAATAGGCTACATCTTTAAAACTTTTCATGTCTTTGTTAGCTTTTGGCAGTGTTTCCTGCTACAGTTATAAAACAACATTGGAAAAGACTCCTACGTGATATATTTACTTAATACAAGATTTCACAATATTCAAGAGACCATTATGAGCTAAGCATATAAGTAGGGGAAAACACCAACTGACAAATACTTCCTTATGTATTGTGGCATCATTAACCTTGAAATCCTGGAACAGATTTTCATATAACCATTTTTCAAAAATATAAAACTGTCATTTTACAGTTTAATGCACCTTTCGATATAAGTTTTAAGAATCTGGGGATTACTTGAAACAATTAAGAAATTGAGGAAAACTGTTTTAAAACAACCAACAACAATAAACTTTTTTTCATCATAGTTCAGAAACAAAATTCAAAGATCTTGTCTTATGACAAAAGTATACTTAGCCTGGTATGTTATAATAGCTGAGCTACCCAAAGCAACAGCAATACTAATGTACAACTTCAGGTGTGGCAGAGCAAGCAGAAATGTTCTTAGGACGAAGGTTCTCTGAGCTTTAGAGTGCAAATGTTGACTAATAGTAAGTAGTGTACCACAAAGAAGGAAGAACATTAAGAATTTTATACACAGGGTTGCAGTGAAGTGTGTTTGCAACTTGTTATAAGTCTAATTGTTTTGTCTGCGCTCATCAGTTGATATTGTATTTCTGATCAATGGTTCATTTTTAAATGAACATAATACAATAGGTTTCCAAGAAAAGACTATTTTAAGATAAAGATCTGACTTTAAGCAACCTCTGTATTTTTGTTTGCACAGAAATGAGGCTTTATCTTTTGTCTGAACAAAAGGATATATTCAGGGAAGCAGATATTAAACTAATGTTACAATGCTGATTATTCAAACTCTCCTATGCTATCCTAATCACTGGAAAACAAAGATTTTAGTTCATGGACACTTCGAGGTGTATCCTACAGATTTTTGACTGCTAATCACAAAAATAACCTGTAATTTAACCTCTCGAGTACCATTTTATTAAAAAAAAACTTCTGTTTTGCCAGAATTATTTAACAAATTTCTTTACACAGGTTGACTACCTCATTTTCTGTACTGACATTGACAGTTTGTTAACAGTCTTGGCTTATGAGCATAATCCATTAGAAAGATGTTTCTTTGGGAATCCATCAGTGCTGGCTGTGTATTGTTGAACATTGCAGTGAAATGCTTCAGACATTGAGTGCAAATGAAAATAATCAGCAAAACACTTTTAGCTCTGAGGATCTCATACAGCCTGTCCGAAGCATTATGCCATTAAATACATGATTGTCATTAAAAGTTAATTTTATATTTTTCAAGGTTCCTATGAGATACAGTCATTCTGAAATTATACTTGCATTCAGTTGGAAGATGTTTATCATAATCACCAAGCGATTTACAGGAAGCAAACTTTTGAAAAAATGTGTTGTTAAGTGACCTAAGTCCAAAGATATAGTTGTCTTTGTTTGTGTGTGTGTGTGTGTGTGTGTGTGTGTGTGTGTGCGCGCGCGTGTGTGTGTAGGAAAGAGAGAGAGAAAGAGAGAGAGAGAGAGAGAGAGAGAGTTTTAATTTATCTTTTCATTCTTTTCTTCTTTCATTATTGACAAAAGAAACAGTAAGCCACTCCCTTAGAGACTCAATATATATAAGAACCCAAACTGCCTTCATACAAAAAGAAAAGACCCAGAAAAATGTATACTGTCATGGAAGCCATCCTATTTTTAATGTTAATTACAGGAATACTTCAGGATGTTGGCTCAGGTAACATTCCTACTATAATATCTATATTGAACTCTGTGAGGTGGGAAGTTTTCCAAGGGCAAAATTAGAATGAAGTTAACATCAGGAGTAGGAAGAGCAGATTTATCTGCCAATGATAATCCTGGCATGATTGCACAAAGGCGAACAGTTTTATTATTTTACTATTTAATAATGGCATTAAGTACTTTTTTTAAGACTTTGAATTTAAGAAGAGGAAATTCAGAAGGTAAATGTGTAAGTCTGCTGTACTTAGGACCCCCTGGGTGAAGTTATTAAATCCTTTGCACATGTTACCAATATAACAGTGGTATGACAGCAAAAAACCCAAACTTGCTTTTAATTGGGACAAGCAGATTTGGGTTTGCAAAAAAGAAAAAAAGGGAGCAAGAAAACGGGTGATTTGTGTCTTTGCTGTTGTTCTATTTATGCCCACAACATCAGGAGTCTTGAGTTATTTTTATTAGTTTAATGACAAGTGAAAGTGATTAAAAATGCTGTTCAAATGACTGAGTTCCAGATGCAGCTGTAGCTTTTCAAACAGAAGCATAGATGCCAAGCAGGAATGGCTGGGTGGCAGTGGATTCATTTCTTATATAATACAGATTCTCAAAATTAGTATTACTTCTAAAAACACCGATAAGGACATAAATATGTATGAGCATGTAGTGCCCAGCCATCTTCTCATACAGAGCAAAAGTAGTATCCAATCCGTGTCTAAGCTCCACTTTTCCAGACTGTGGGTATGGGCTGGCATGAACAAAGATTCCTTCATTCACCCCAGAAGAAAGTAGTTATTTTACAAAGAAAACATGCCTGTTGTATATTTTGACTACATTCGTTTTCTCTAACATCATGTGTTTTATATATATAAAGGTTTCTTGAGAGTATATTGGCTGCAGTTGCATTCCCACTTAGACTGGAGCATATCATCTCACCAATTTTGCATGTGATTGACCGACTGATGGTTTGGGAATCACCACTTATGGGAAGCAAGGAAGGGAGGGAGGCAGGGAGGGAGGAAGGAAATTCCAAACTCTGTAGGCAATCAATCAGTGAAAACAATGAATATTATCATTGATTAGTCCAGAATAAGCTATAGCACAATACTTAGCCACACAGAAAACCTGTATTTGCATCTGCCAATAAAATAAAAAGTATAAAATATATCAGGTGCACCTAGATTGTTAGTTAAAACCAATAGTATAACAACTGAGCAATATAGTAGAACACGATCTATCTCAGATTCTCAATCTCCCTTGAACTATAAGGACAGATCCGGGGTATCCAGATTTGGGGTATTACAAAATTAATCCTTCAACCTGACTAATGATAAATCCAATGTTATCTTTTTGTTTAGAAACATAAGAGTAATATTGAAAACCACAGCTGAAATTTGGGCCTTCTTTTGGACAAGGGTCACTGTTAACAGCAATAAATCAAAAGTAGTGTTGAACTGAACTTTTTTGCATGTTAATTGGTTTGCAAACCTTATTTATCAGTAAAAGCTATTTATTCCCATCTGATTCAATTGGGTTTTTTTAAGATGAAAATCAGACTGCAATCCAAAATGAATAAACCTATTGGATTTATTTCGTACTACTATATCATATCTGGAGAAATTCAGGCAACCACAAGATGGCAGCAAGGAATGAGAAGTTTCTACATACAGCATTTTAATTGCCATCTTGGAGTTGGCCAGATATTTTTTCACCCTGGATGTGGTAGCTTTACAAATATAAACTTCCAGTTGAATTAGTTCAAACACAAAAATGTGTGTATTGGGTTTCAATAGAGTTTTTTGTTTTATTTCTAATGATTTCTAAGGATCCCTACCATTATATTAATATAATAATGAATTGCTCTCCATCTTTAGATTGGACAGGTTATTAAATGTAAAGATTTAGCTCCCCCTTGTGGAACTATGCCTTATGCCTTAATTTGGAACAAACTAGATTTTGATTCTTTCAGTCAACATTTCTGCGTATGAATTCAGTATTCTTTGAACTGTGCAATCAAATGATTTGTATGCATTTGGAAATTATTATAAAATTGCAATGATGGTGATAATTACTGTAAAATCTGCTTTTTTAAATCTCAATTTAGTGCCAGCTCTATCTACCGTGGCGACACCTCCAACTCCAGGTTAGTGTGATTAGGCTCTTAGGTTTTGTAACAGAGATGAGCACCGCCCCCTAGAGCCGGAAACGACTAGCACATATGTGCAAGGGGAACCTTTACCTTTATACAACACTAAGTTAGTCAGATGGAATGTCAGACTAACTAAGCTAAAAAAATTATACCTTAGCATATATAAATCTTATATTTCATACCATCTTATATTTAGTAAAGCAAAGTGAGCATCTAGGGAAAATGTGGTTATGTGCAAAAAAATTCCCTTTTAAAAATAACAACATTCTTTTACATCACATTCCCAACCATATATAATCAAAATCAATCCCAGGAAGGTTTTCATTTAGATATGGGGCAGAAATTAGTCTGGTGCACATTTTAATGAACATTTTCTATTATTTTGTATTTTAATCTCATATATCTGTTCAAAATTGTATTGTGAAAATTGTTTGTGAAAATTGAATTGCAATGCAATATTCTTATCCTATCTGTCATGTCCATCAAATATTTATATTAAGAAAGCACAGATTAAAAAGCATATATATATTGATGCCAATGACAAACAAAAATGCTTTGTATTTGAGTAAATTTCTCGTAAAACATTGTTAATCAGAAATGCATGCAAAAATATGTAGAGCAGAACTGTGCAATTGTAAAACATGAGAATTTGGCTTAGAAATAGATATGAAACTTGGATGTTTGTCACAGAACATAAAGCAACATAAAAATAAGGTACTTCCTGGATAGCTTAGGAAAAAGAAGTACTTAAGTGGTCAGAAGTTTCTCTGAGTTTTCTACCACCCTTCCTTAAAAATAAATGCATATAAATACCTACTATTCTGCCATTTAAAACTCACTTTGCATTAAAGTGCTATTAGAAGAAATGTTCAGCCTCAAGGTACTTACTTATATGATAGTTTTCCAGATGCTGGCACTATAATTCCCAGAATTCTCAGAATACTTAGTAGACACACACACACCCAAACTCAGGAAAGTATTCAGTGAAATGAAAGAATTAAACCTACTGTATTTTATTCACTTCGAGCTATAAACAATACTAATTTGTTTGCTTTGTTCTTGCATAGGACTGTCTCTCAGACTTGCTGGCACATACAACTATTGTGAGGGACGTGTGGAAGTGTATTATGAAGGAGCCTGGGGAACTGTCTGTGGCAAGAACTGGGATCTGAAAGATGCTCAGGTTGTTTGCCAACAGTTAGGATGTGGGAATGCTGTAGAAGCCCTGCCCTGGCCTAAATTTGGCTCAGGCTCAGGCAAAATTGTCCTAAGTAATGTACAATGCAAAGGGGATGAATTTTTTCTATGGGATTGTAAGAACCCTGGATGGGAAGTGCATAACTGCAATCATCAACAGGATGCTACCGTTCTCTGTACAGGTATATGTGGGTTTTCTTAAGTCTTGATTTTTACTGGAAGTGTGCAATCAATATGGTTATTCACTGACTAGTGTTGTAGAACAGCGGCCCCCACCTTTTGAGCACCAGGTTTTTCCACAGACCGGAGAGAGTGTGTATTTACATGCTGCCTGTATCCCACAGGGGTTCATTTGTTTACAAGGCCTGGTTGCTGGCATGCCACAGACTGGCTGCAGGTCCACAGACTGGGAGTTAGAGACCTGTGCTGTAGAGGCAGTCATAGGATAAGATGGTTCCATAACTACATATATTTTCTTTATGGTTTCTTGTCATTTCTTGTTGCATCAGTTGCCCAAATCCAAGATACTTTGAGCAGCATACAAAACTGGAAAATCCATAAAACTGAAAATATCAATATCAAATCAAACAGACATCCTAAAGTAAAACTAACTTGTAAACAACACAAATCAATCAAACAAAAAACACAATAATTCTGATACATCAACCCCAGGCCTGACACCAAAGCCAGGTTTTAGAAGTTTTCCAGAACCCTAGAAGAGGGTTCTTATCTATTCTGTTTCAGATGTTGGGGGCCATGACAGAGAAGGAAATTATTCATTTGAATTTTCCGGGCGATTAAATGACCTCTTCACTTACAATGGCAATTGGGACCAGAATTTCTATCACAAAGTAGGGTGGTCATAGCGAATGACTGTATCACTTACGGTGGGCAATTCCTACAGTCCCAATTGCTGTTGTTAACGGAATCCCAGTGTAAACTATTAGTAGTGCCTTACCAAATGTTACACTCAAGTATGCTAAATGTGGGTTTCCTCAAATGTCTAGGCAACCTTTTTAGTGGGATTTTTAGTTAATCATTCAAGATGAACTATGAATCTGCAATAGAAAGAAGAAACAGAACAAGTACTGGAAGGGAAATCTTGAATGGCCCTTCCACATATTCCGTTGCATACTCTATGCTCTCTTGGTTGCTGCCTTTTTCATGATAGTTCCCATGGCATTCTGTTAATATTTGGATAACTATGAACATATGGAAAAAGAGAAGAGTATAGGAAGTTGTGATAGTTTATCTGTTAGCCTCCTAGGAAAGACAGAGGCTTATTTAAGAATGTCTGGTATAATCAAATTCTCCTTTGTGAAGGCAGCAGTTCAAACATTTGAGTATTTACTGATTAAATTCTAAGGAAGATGAAATCTTATTACATAAAATAGTCATTCTTAATTGTTCAGCTAATCAGTGTAGAACAATGCTATTCCACAACTCCAATGTCATTAACATTTCCCACTCTTTCAATTGCTATACAATCCAGATATAAACTATAGAAGAGTCTCAAACATTAACGATTTTAAGGTTGAAACCTCAAGAGCAATCATGATGTGCTCAATTTTTTCAGTACTGATGTTGCACAATAACCACATATGAGTCTCTTAATTACTGAAGCAGAGCTGACCTTGTAAGTTGGGCACAGTCATGTAATGTTTCATTCAGTGACCACATTGTTTACTATCAAAGTTGCTGGTTCCTATTGTGGTTGTTAAGTGAGACCTGCCTGTATTTTGTTCCCTAAATGTATTTAGAATGGCCTTCAAATTCAGATCTTGCAACTTACTGTTGGCTTCCCCATTGATTTTGCTTGTCAGAAGCTGGCTGTGAAAGTCACAAATACCAATCATGTGATTGTGGGACACTGCAACCATTGTAAATGCATGCCAGTTGAGAAGCACCCATATTGTCATCATGTGACTGCAGGAATGTTGTGATGGCCACAAGTTTTGAGGACCAGTGCCATGAGAACTTGAATGGTCACTGAACAAGGCAGTCATTAACCAAGAAGTATCTATATTTTTTTTCTCTTACTTATCTCATTTCCCTCAGTTCAGTTTTATTATTTGTGCTAAGCAGTGTCTTAAGCAAAGATCTTAAAATAAACAAGTTTAAAATAAAAAAGTTTAAACAATATCCATGTGGTAATGATTAATTAATCATTAATGTTTTAATTTTATGAAAATTGTTTTTTTATAGGTGAAAAGTATAGACCAGGTATGTAAGTCTTCTCTTTCATGTTTATGAATATTTTTCTATGTTCTGCATAATAATAATGTACCAAACTGTGGAGCATCTTATCAAAGCTGGTATCATCCAGGTTTTTGGGGGATTTCATCACTACTGGTGGGAAATAGGTTGCAAAGGGCTCCTTTGGGAATATTTTTACATTAAAAGTCTTCACAATAATAGTATGAATGATTCACAGTATGGAGTTTGGTATCAGCTTTAGAATGTTTGTAATTTTGCAAGTTCTATGGAATTAAGACCACCATAAATTTTATAATTATAATTCTTAGGGAAGATTATGAATAAAATCATTAGTAGATATTACTATGGATATGGTTAATTCAGGTAGGACTGCTCTTCCTTCAAAAGTCAAAGTGTATTGTTCAGAACCAAATGAAAAAGGCAAACAAGCATGAAATTAACACGATAGAAGTCTGTTGACAAAGTCATAACCAGAAACCAACATGGGTTTGGCAAGATCATGCTAGACAAAACTTATTTCATTCTTTGACTAAGTGACAAATTAATAAACCAGCAAAATGCTGTGGATATAATTTACTTGGACTTCAGTAAGGCATTTGATAAAGTAGATCACAACCTATTATTTGATAAGATAGAAAAATGTGGGTTAAACAGCATTCCCACCAGATGGATTTGTAACTAGCTGACCAACCACCCTCAGCATGTAGTCTTTAATGGAACTGCTTCTATATGAAGGAAAGTATGCAGTGGGGGAGCCCAAGGCTCTGTTTTAGGCCCAGTACTCTTTAGCAATAGCACTTAGACTTATATACCACTTCACAGTGTTCTCTAAGCAGTTTACAGAGTCAGCATATTGCCCCCAACAATCTGAGTCCTCATTTTACCCACCTCTGAGTCAACCTTGAGCATGGTGGGATTTGAACTGCCAAATTGCAGGCAGACGGTAGTCAGCAGAAGTAGCTTCCGGTACTGCACTCTAACCACTGCACCCCATGAGGCTTTAATGATTTAGACAAGGGGGTAGAAAGGGAACTCATCAAACTTGTAGATGACACCAAGCTGGCAGGAATAGCCAATACTCCAGAAGATAAGCACAAGATACAGAAGGAGTGCTTGTGGACAATCATTTAAATATGTGCTGCAGCTGCCAAAAAAGCAAACACAGTCCTAGGCTGCATTAACAGAGATACAGAATCAAGATGACGGGAAGTGTTAGTATCACTTTATAATGCCTTGGTAAAACTGCACTTGGAATATTGCATCCAGTTGATTGCCGTAATACAAACAAGATGTTGAGAGTCTAGTCTAGAAACAGTTCAGAGAAGATCAACAAAGGTGATTAAGAGACTATAGAGGCTAAAGCATAGGAAGAATGGTTGCAGGAATTGGGTATGCCTAGTTTAATAAAAAGAAGGGTTAGAGGTGATTTGATAGCAATATTCCGATATCTAAGGGGCTGCCACAATTAAGAGGGGCCAACTGAAGGCAGAACAAGAAGCAATGGATGGAAACTAATCAAGGAGATAACCAACCTAGAACTAAGGAGAAATTTACTGAGTTAGACAGTTAATCAATAGAACAATCTGTCTCTAGAAGTTGTGGATAGTGCAACAGTGGAGGTTTTTAAGAAGAGAGACAACGGTTTGTTTGAAATTGTACAGGATTTCCTGCTTGAGCAGGGGGTTGGACTAGAAGACCTGTTTTAGTTTTTAGTGAACATTGCACAACCTCAATCATATGATGTTTGATTACCTGACAATATCTGAAGATGTTGAACTTTATTGACGTGAAGCGGGAAATTGTGCATATGTATGTGTTATCTACAGATGTAGATGTAAATAGATTGCAGATTTAATAATCACATTTTATTATATCTTCCAGCTGGAACTGAAGGAGATGGTGAGTCTGTGTTTAGGATTTTTCCTTTTAAAGAAAACAGTCACTTTTAAAATATTTTGCCTGAAACAAATTTCTTCAAAATTTTCAGTAAACTATGAATGTACAAAGTTGAGCAAATGAAAAACCTTTGAATGTATAACATTTTAGTTCGATTGATTCATTCAGATAAAGATTGGAAGTGAACTGCTTGTGACCTCTTCCTGTAATTTTACTTTTTTCCTAATTATTGTGACTCTATTCTCTAAAGAATAGGGTACTATGGATTTACAACTTGACAAAACTTACTACAATTTCTTAAAAGCAACTTGGAGAAGAATAACTCACCCCTATTAAACTACATCTGTCTAGAGTAGCATGCATGACATGCATGTTAAAGAGTTATTATTAAATATTAAAGAGTTCCACATTAAAAAGAATAAAACTCTTATTAAGTAGTACAAACTGTAAGACCTGTGGGTCACATATGACTTGATGGAATATCCAGTGAACCACACAAATCCTTCAATCCTTGAGACTTTCCAATCTTCTTTGATGCTCTCTGAGTTTTGGTGAGACCCAAGGAGTCCACAATTCTGAGCTACAGTACATATATTTTCTTCTATTCTTCTCCTTTCCTGCTGATCTAGCCCCTTTTGCTTTGCTTGCTACTCTATTTCTGGCCCATTCTTTTCTTTTATTTGCATCTGCCCAGTCCTCATTTGGTCTTTCCTCAACCCTGGCTGCTTCTCTTCTAGTTTCTCCATGCTGCTTGTCTAGTCTTCCACCAGATTTTACCCAGTTTGCCTGTTCCCCTGAAGTCTTTTCACAACACCTCTTCCTACCCATACCTGACCTTTTCCAGACCTCCCATAAGTCTGTAACCTGTTGAAAATGTTGCAACTTGTTTTCTACCTGCAACTTTAAAAAACAAACAAACACTGAAGCTCTCTTTTAAAAATGATCATAGCCTTCCTGACTACAGGAAGAAAGGCAAGAAAGGTCATAAAATGAAACAAAATTCACTTAACCACTGTTTTGCTTAGTGACAAAGTTTTTGGGTTCAATGTGGTTGTAAGCCGAAGACTACCTGAATTGACTAAAATGCATCTCCCATCATTCCCCTCTTTTTGATCAGACGAAAAACAACTTATGCATTTTTCTTAATTTTGAAAATATGTCTATAACCAGCCGTGCTGACAGCAATCGTTTTTGCCTTTTTTTCTCCCCCCCACCCAAAGTGGTGTATATGCAGCTGGTGGATGGCCCAAACCAATGTGCTGGTCGTGTTCAAGTCATTTATTTTGCCAACTGGAGACATGAGGTTTGCAGTGAAGGTTGGGACATAAGAGATGCTCAGGTTGTCTGCAAGACACTGCACTGTGGCAATGCTGTTGCTGCCTTGACCGATGGCTCTTTTGGTAAAGGGAACAGTGGCCCTTTGATGACTAAAGTTGATTGCTCTGGGTCGGAATATTATTTAATGTCATGCCCATATGAGTATCGTCCTGCTACATGTGGAAATTACAACGATGCTGCTGTTATATGCTCTGGTAGGTATTTTCTCCTGGCTTATGAAAATTGTCAGATATATTTTGCAAGTCATCCCTCTCCTTCAGGAAATTTTGTTTTGTTTACTCAAGTTATTTATTTTATTTTATTTATTATTTATTATTCACAGTGCATAGCTTATCATCATGCATCTTGAAACTATTGAGCATATCAGTTAGGAAGATTCAACATTTCATTGATTTAAATGGTGTTTGCAAAAAGGTTAAAAATAATTTCAAAAATAATCTCTCTTTTTTGGTAACTTTTAAAATGCGATTTAACTTTAAGCTTCATGAATTACTAGGTCTCCTTTCTTTGGCACATATATTCAGCTGCAATTTAGTTTTTCCATCAACAATTCTCTTTGTTTAGAATTGATCATATTCATTGACAATGAACTTCTGTTAATATTTAATCAGAGTTCTCTAGAGAACTCTCTTCTCTAGAGATGGATCAGAAAAAGAGTTTTGTTCAATGTAAATATCCTTAATGTGTAACTATCTAGTTCACAGAAAAAGCTCTCTGTAGTATTTTACTCCACGGGTATTGTTTGAGTCAAAATAAATGGAATCAATGGAATCACACTGAGAGCATGATAGAAGTTCCTGTCCGCAGAACTTTCTCAAATTAATATCTATTTTCAGGTTTTGCACTGTAAGCCCCAAGAGCAGCTATTTTTGGCAACAGCATGAACACCACTTTATTTTTTTTAGCTGGAATTTCAGAAAAGTCTCCGTTGATTTTTTTGAGATTCCATAGCTGCAACTATCATGTTGTTTTGAATAAGAGTAATCTTTCTAAGCAACTTTGCTTTGCTGTTCAATCAGTTGAGGCTAGAATTTTGAATTTTCTAAAAAACTAACCAGACTGGTTTTCTTTTCCTAAATCATATGAGTCTTAACCAACTTAGCAATGACTAAATTTCATTAAAATTATTGGAACAGCAAATAGTTATGACTAAGCCACGCATCATTGGTCTCAGCAAATCACGTCTGATTTTAGTTGGATTGGAGCTACTTTCTTGATAGTTTCCTTTGTTTGTTCCAAGAAATCCATGCCCCAAATCTTAGCTGAAGCATATTTTTCATATTAGTAGAAGCTTTAAAATATTATAATAAAGGATTGGCTTAGTTTCTTTCACAGGGATTTTCAGAGAGTGTCTTGTTCCCTACAGGGAACGCAGGGCTGACCCTATAAAAATATAATTCCTAATATAGAAAGCTGCAACAATTCAGATCAGTTATTTATCTATCCCACCATCATAAATTATGACTGGCAGGGATTTTCTAAAGACTCAAGCAAACGTTTTACACTGATCACTTGCTTTCTGATCTTTAAGTTAAATAATGGAGGAGAGAATCAGAAAGTTTCTGATTTAAGGCATTTCTTAACCATGGACCTATGGTCCTTTCTTAGAAGTACATCATGGCCTTGCAGTTGCTTGAAAGACGATGGTGAATCTGACAATGATGATGATTTAAACTTGTATATACAGATTCTTTTTGAGCACTCAATTTATCTCCATTTACAGATTCTGGATTGACACCAACTGGAATACCAGGTAAAGTTACAGTCAATTGTAATATTGTATTGAATATTTTGTAAAGACCAAACTCAGGGGAAGTAACATTTCCTCACAGTTTAAATTATCATTAGGGCATAAGCTCTTTTGCACTAGGTTCAGTCACAAGGATATGGTTTGGATGGTTTAAGCTTTGTAACAAGAGAAAGTTCTGCTTCCTTGCCATAGGCACATCTGTAGGATTTAGACAAGTGATAAATCATACAATACCAACAGGAGATGGTAGTAGGAAGGATAAGAAGGTGTCAAAGATAATATCAATACAGCCTACTACATGGGTAAATATCTTTAGGCCCAAGCCTAAAGTGCTGTGCTGTGGGAATTAGGTGTTCAGCAGTGAGGGCACTGGGTGGCGGGACATGGCTATCTTTGTGTCCAGTTGTTTTGGCATGCAATGGTCTCTAACAGCATCCTGAGGGAAACAGTTTATGTCCAAGATGTGAGGTGTTTATAGATATTTTCTAAGCCCTTTCTGGTTTGTGCAGTATACAGATACTCAATGGAAGTGAGGCTGCTTGCAATTGTTTTTTATGCAGCCCTAGCTATTCATTGAAGTCTGTGTTTCTATGCCAAAGCAGAGTTACTGAGGTACAAATGACAGACTCAATAATTCCTCTGTAGGACTATATTAGCAGATCCTTGGGCAATCTGAGCTTTCTGAGGTGACGCAAGGAGAACATTCTTTGTTGTGCCTTTTTAATGATGTTTTCTGAACATTCAATTTATCTCCATTTACAGCTTTTGGATCAAGCCCAATTATTGTTTAGCAGGTAAGCTTTAAATTAACTGGGATATTAATAATATATAATAATATTAAGGCTGATTATCGAACATTTTATAATGACCAAGTTCAGGGAGGCAAAATTTACACACATTTGGAATTACTTTTAGGGTTGGGAAATTCTTGAAGTCCACACATCTGAAAGCTGCCAAGGTTGAGACACAGTGTTAGACTTCTCCTTTTTTCCCCACTCAGTTCTTCCTCCTAACCCCTTAGCCAATTTCATCATTTCATCATTTCATTGATTCAACATCAATTCCACTTTTGCTTTTAGGAACTCTAAACTTTTACAGTATATCCATATTCCAGATGTGTATGTCTTAAATATTTCCCAAGTGCACTTCTAAATTTTGCAGATGTTAAACAGCATTCCCCGGGTTATTGCATGTTTCTTGGGAAAAGATACAAATCCAGCCAGGGCTATATTAAGATCCTGCTGGGCCTAAACATCTGGGTTCCTATTGGAATATCACAGACCTTCAAAATTATAAAGATATTCCATGGGACTATTTTTCAAAAAGTCCCAGATAGTAAGTGGCAGATAAGGAGTAACACTCTCTTAGATTTTTTTATTCATTTTTATTTAATTTTTATGCTTACTGATAAGATGTACAGTATGGATTTTGAATTTTTTATTTTTCTGGTTTTTGTTTTTATTAATAATATTTCTGTATGCCCCAACTATTTTATAGGTCATAGGCATAAATTCTATTGCATCTAAATAGAATATATGCCATAAACCCATCTGGAAATGATAATAAAGAGAATACTTGAAGCAGGAACTATCAAGATTTGAGAGAAAATTTTCAGGAAGGTCCTGCAAAAATGTTTTCTTATAGCAAGCCAAAATAATCTACTAATTTAGTCATTTTGCATTGACTGATCAAATATTCGACTGCAGAATTTTTTCCAACCAGTTAATCATCTTCAACTACAAACTAGTCATTCCTCAGAAAGTGTTCATATATTTGCACAATCATAGTACATAATGATTCTTGGGATGTATTGCCTTTCCATAAAATCGTAGTTTAGTGGTTTGATTAATTGTCAATATAAGCTGTGCATTTCTCCAATTTCAGTACATTGACTTCGGAAGCTTATGTTGTTTTGCATTGACTGAGGAAGCACATGAATAGCTCACAGATCTGGAATGAACCATCAGCTGACTTCACATTGATTTATTAAGGTTAGGCTGCTGATGAAGCAAATCAGTGGCCTCTGGTACTATGTAAAAGTCAACTCAATTAAAGAACATCCTGTACAATGACAGAAAAAAGGCATAGATCATGAGCCTATTATATTACTTACATTCACAATAGTACATCCTCGATGGAACTACCAAGGGACAGTAATGTGCTCCTTTATGTGAAAATTATGAATAAATGCATTGGCTTAATCAAGTAAGCAAGAATGTCTGTGCATGTTCATTACATAGTATCTAGTAAAATCAATGGTATTTCAGCTTCAAACCACCCTTCATCTGAAAAAATAGAACAATTTTTTTATCAGGAATAACACATTATATAAGTGAAAGTGCTTTAATTAAATTACAGTAGTTTTTTTAAAAAAAATCAGCATAGGTTCAGGACTTGCATGTGTACAAGTCATTTATTTCAAATATTTTCATATTGTTAACAGTTGTATCTTCAGGAAATATCAAGCTATTAAAAATAGAATACTGCAATGTATGTTTTACAGGTGGTTTAACTTGCAGATCAGACCTGTTGATCACTAAAGTGGTAGTGACGGGTAGCCAGTAAAAATACATAAAAGATAACATATGGAGCTCAGGCTGAACTATATAGTCCTTGGTGATCTCTAGCTTGGATGCTTGTTTGCGGATGTTTCCTACATGACTAGATAACATTTATCAGTGCTTGTTACTTTGGAGTTTGCTCATTGTTTATGTACAGTAGTTGTATGGGTAGAAGTGAAGTTTTCTCTTTGGTAGATTCATTTAGGATACTACTTTCTGCTTGATTATTTTTCTGGTGTTAATACCTGCTTATCTGGTTGCTGGAAAAGATGCATTCTAGTCTCTGTTAGTTTTTTTTATTGTCACTTTTGAATTGTAGCTCAGAGAGCACCAAGGACTCCACAAAGAATACAAAGCACACAGTAAGAATAGCTGAAGTAATTATCTTCAACATTTAACCTACTGAAAAATTATTCAGCAATACAATACCATTAAACATAATTGGATAGTTGGTCAAAATCTACTGTTTTCTGTACCAGCACAGAGATAATATTAACAGTCCAGTGCCTGCTTGTAGCATGAAATCCAGCTCATGTCTTTATTTAATGGTCAATTTCATCAGGAATAACTGTTAGAATAATGTCCTCATTCCCTCTACGTACTACCATACTGAGTGTACTGTCCTTTTTGATAATGTCACTAACATCATTGGCAGAAATTATTGGTTGTCCATTAATGCTTATAATCACATCATTTTCTTTCAGGCCTCCTCTGAAATAAACAAGAAAAAATTATTAGTCTTATAAAAGACTCACACCTGCTTTCTATATCAAGATACTTCAAGATATGAGAATCATAATTCAATCCAAAACACTAATATTTGGCAAATATAGTATGTAACACTGTATCCTACTCTAAATGCTTACTTTGGGAAAAGAAAGTTTCCAGTGACACTGGACAAAACAAGAGTGAACATGCATCCCTTGATAAAGAATTCATGATTACATACCTCTCATTGTAAAGTTTTGCCCACAGCAAAGAAAGAGCTGATATAATAATGGCACTTTAATTGTATGTACTACATGCAACATATACAGGATGCTATTTTAACCTTTTTTTCCTACTATGCTTCATATAGCATCTTTATTGCCTTGTTGGTTCAACTCTCTCACAATATAAGCACAAAGTAGTAACAAATCCTGTCAATGTCTGGTCTCTGTGCATTTTTAAGCCCAGGATTTACAAACAATATGAGAGCCTTTGCAGTATACCTTTAGATTCCTGTAACAGACTCCAAAGAGACCAACTACTACAAAATGTAGCTATTAACTAATGCACAATCTTATGAGCTTATCATTTGATATATGAGATAGATTAAAAATTAATTTTGAAACTGGGCCTATTTATAAAGGTCCATTTTCTGAGGCACACTGGAAAGATCTTTTATCAATTCCAAATTATGAATGCTTTTTTTTCAGAACTAATATTGATTTCATCTCTATATGTTTCTAATGGCAGTTTTAAAAATAGTCAGGTTCATTTTTAATCTCTGCTATTAACTGTCTTGAGGTTAATTGTTGAAAGACAGCATAAAAGCAACATAAATACTTAATAAGAAAATAAGTAGATTTTGGCATATTAATGACATTGATTTAAAATTGAAATAATAATTGTTCTATACACTTGTCTAATTGTTATTTAATTTATCTAATATATAATTGTTAAATTAGAGAGGGGTTAATACTTCAGTGATAATTTTTAAGAAGTAAAATATATCCAATTTCCTTTTTTAAAGAATCTTTTAAACATTTCCATGAAATAAACCTTACATGGTATCTAACAGCTGCAACTTTCATTGCCTTCTTTTACAAACTTTTCTTCTGATTGAGAAACTAAAGTTAGACCTCTAGAGCAAGAGTAATCTATCCATCAAGCTTGACTATGTTCATATTGGTGGCACTGAGGCTAATGAGAATTCAGCATTCTTTCCTCACCTCATCTTGTCCTGTCTTGTAGACAAACTCCAGCTATACCTTATGGAAAGACAAACCTACTTAACAGGCAGATACATGAATCAACCCCCGAGCACAACTATTTTATTTAGCCACAAAGATTTCACAAGGCTTGCTCATGCAAAGAGAAATACCTTACACAAGCAGTTCTTTCAAAGGAAGCATTTTTCAGGAATTACTAATTTCTTGACAGCCTACTATTTTCAGTGCTCAAGAAGATCATTAGTATGAAACGAAGAAATGAAGAAACTTCATCCTTGCTGTAGGTATGACAGCTCCAGAAAAATTAGTTTAATAAGAGTACACATTCATTAAACTTTAATGTTAGTAGGGTAAATTGTGATAATACGTTCAAGGTATGTCTGAAGCGATGAAGACTACAAAGAAGAAAAAATGAGCAGTTCTCTTTGAAGAATTAAGCCTTTGAAGAAATAAGTACAGAGATTACTTGAATAGTAATATGCTTTATGTGTCATAAGGATGTTCATATGACTGCCATATATCCACATACAGCCTTCAGTTCTGACTTAGGCAAGTTGCAAATTAGTTTTAACTCTTGTATTGCCCAGAATCATTCTGGAGTCAGGCAGCACCAAAAATGAATTAAAGTAATAAAATTTAGAACTTTGGGTTTTGGTCACTCTTGCCCAGTGGGAGGATTCAATTTTTTTTTTTTTACTGTGGGCATGGTTTGGTGGGCGTGGCAGGGGAAGGATACTGTAAAATCTCCAGTGAGACGTGGTATTTGCCGGTTCTCCGACCACTTCTGCTCTTGCCTTATATTTCACAAAACACACAGAACATCTAACTCAGGGGTGGGGAACAATAGCCCTTTTATGACTTGTAGACTTCAACCCCCAGAATTCCTGAGTTGACCATAATGGCTCAAGAATTCTGGGAGTTGAAGTCCACAAGTCATACAGGGGCCATTATTCCCCTGATCTAACTCCTCCCATTTAGAAGCCTTAAATAGTATTATTTCTAGTGAATGGATTGATGTGGTACATGTTCAACATTATCCCGATAAATCAATAGTTGCAGACTAATAACTAATAGATACATGGTAGAGTTAAGAACTCAGTGAGCCACTCATTCGTTCTGCCTTTTTCCTTCTCTACCACATCTGCAATATGAAAATAATGTTATTGTGCAAGATAACACATATATAACACTTTAAACACTTGACAGTGCTACACAAAAATTACTATATTGTTTTTTCATCAATAGTAACTTTTCTGCATTGTATTCTCAATTCACCAGGCATGGCACAAACACTAGGTGGATAAGCATATATAACATCAGAGCTATAATAGTGTCATTAGAAGCCAAGTTGGATGCACAATGATGGGCTTCAGTTACTTTTGAGTTCTACCACTGAAACCTTTTGCAATCATAAAAGTAGCTAGCAATGACTCACTGGTTTGCAGAATTAGATGTCTAATGAAAAATGAAAAAAATGGCAACAGCTTTTTAATAATAGATTTGGCGATCTAGCAGGTTTTCTCAAATATCTCAAAGAAGATTCTGTTGATATTAATACCTCATTTATTTATTTTTCTTATCAAGGTGCTTTTCAAAGCACTTTGTTAAGAACAAAACAAGAATCCTTTAACTTACATCTCAGCTGGTGTGTCTGGAATTACTTCAATAATATAGGCTCCAGAATTAACATCAGGGAAATCTTCATATCGTTCCTTAAGTTCTTTAGCTTTACTAGAGAAAACAAAATACATCCATTGATTATTTAGTAAGAACATAATGATATGATCAAAAGATTTATAAAAGAAACAACTATGTTTATTTGCATCAGAAATAATTAAGCCATTTAGTTTCTGAAACATTAACAAATCTATTAAAACATAAACAAAATAAGAGACAGGAATCTTTCACTTGTTTACTGGAATAAACATTGCTGTCCATGAAATAAAAAATATCTTTTGCTCACAGTATGAAATAATATTTTGCCTGGAAGTTCATTATTGACTCACGCTAAGCAAGTTTGTTTCATTTCTGCAGTCTAATGAAAAAGAATCTAGAAATCAAGGTTTTCTTCAAATATACTCCCCAGAACAGAATGGGACAGCTTGCCATGGCCAACTCACCACAGGACAACAGGTCAAAATTGTTGTTGCAGGTCAACAGGTCAAAATTCAAAAATTAAGTTAATTTCAATGGAGCTGTGGCCAATAATAATAAAATAAAGAAAATGAACCCCTCAATACAAGTTACAATAATTTTGACAAAAATGTGGTCACCAATAATAAAAGTAACTGAATGAAATGATGAATACAGTGCTGAATTCTCCTGCAGCACGTTGGCCATGGTAAGTTGGCTGTGGCGAGTTGTCCTAGATGCCTCCCCGAAACTGGCTCCTGGAGTCAGGGATGGCATCCTGCCACACATCAGTACAATCATTATGCCTACAGGATCCCAAATTTGATTCCCCCAATCCAACATATAAGCACTCAAACCCAACTAGTATTTTTTTTTTTTACTAAGGTACGAGATTCTTTATTCAGAGCCACCACTACCCTCAATGGCCCTGGTTCTGAGGTTGGTAAAGGACCTGAAACATGCCTTAGATTTCACACAAAGCCAAACAAGATTTTGGTGATGTATGTCAGATCTACTGCCTTATGCAGTAGACAGATCTGTATGAATCAGATATACTGCCTTGTGGATTATGGATAAAAATGATGCTGTTACAAATGGGCCTAGCATTAAACATGAGGATTCTGAGTTCATGAGTGCCTGCCATCAAGAGGGTTGCAGTTTTAAAACCTACCCCTGACTGAGAGACATCATTCGAATGCCAATGTATTTTTTCTTAGTTACAGTTTTGCCTGTTTCAAAAAGAAGAAAAAACATTAAATTGTATTATTCCCCTTCATCTAAAACAACAAAACAAAAAATTCTAACATACTACAGATTGTGATTTGACTTAACAATAACAGAATAAACAAAGTTGGAAGGGACCTTGGAGGACTTCTGGTCCATCCCAGGGTCAAATAGGAAACCCTAGATCATTTCAGACAAATGGTTGTCCAATCTCTTCTTTAAAACCTCCCATGTTGGAGCATTCACAACTTCTGCAGGCAAGTCCTTCCACTTATTAGTTGTTCCAACTGTCAGAAAATTGACTGTATCACCTTGACTATATCACCTTACAGGTAGTTACAACCATTTGTTTAGTGATCAGTTGAAGTTACAACTACACTGAAAAAAGTGACTTACGACTAGTCCTCATACTGATGGCTATTGCAGCATCCCCATGTGATCAAACCTTGGGTTCTTGGCAACCAGCATCTATTTATCAACCTTCCCCGCTGGATTCTGACAAAGTTGATGAAGAGAAACTGGATTCATTAGAATGTGTGATTCACTTAACAACTGCAGTGACTGTGGCAAAACGATCATAAAACTGAGTGTGATTTACTACCTTCCTTAGCAACAGAAATTCTGGTCCCAATTGTGTTTGTATGTCAAGGACTATCTGTACATACACATTATATAATAATATATAGTGCTTTCGGTCCTCATTTTTGCAGTAATCTTTACATGCATTTTTGTTCATACCCAGTCTCCTTCATTTTATCATTGCACAATGTATAATTTTTCAAATGTTAATTGAGGCAGTCTGTAATATAATTTATTTTACTCTGTTCCAAGCAGATTTCACATCCCCTTCCCTTACAATTTCTACTCATTCCATTTCTTTTCCTATAGACATTTTATTATCATTATATTTTACTGCACTTCAGGAGCCCCTAGTTGATGGGAAACAGGCAACAGTATGCTGACTTTCAAGGCCTTCTTCAGATTAAATATACCCAGTTTGCATAGAATAGTATGCCCATGCTTCTGATGTATAAACACTATTAAGCAAACAAATCTGAACTTCATTGGTGTTTGTATCATACTACAAAATGGAATAGAATAGAATACTTTATTGGCCAAGTGTGATTGGACACGCAAGGAATTTGTCTTGGTGTAAAAGACTGATCACTCTTGCAAGTGCTCAGAATATGACTGAAGCTGGTAATCTAGCCTGCTCTATCTTTGTCTTATCAAAAAGCATTATTTGACAGCTTTTATTGACCAAAGCAATGATCGGCTATGAAACACAACTTTGATACTAATGAATACATCTAATAAATAGGTAAGATATAAAATCTAAATGCTACCTTACATGAACAGTACAATAAAAAAAAACAGGACACTAATAAGAAACAGATGACATGGCTTCTTCGATGATATATTGGCTTAATAAGTGGGTAGAATTTAGAAACTGACCTTTCAAAATTCAAGCCCATTGACTTTACCTGTGTCTGCCTACTATTGAAAATTTAGTACAATACCTTTGGATTGTCGGTCATGTGATTCAGTGAGGAATTTTTTAATTTTGTCTGATGGTATTGCAAAGGAGATTCCAGCAGTGACCTTCAGAGTATTAATACCAATCACTTCCCCATCCTGTAGTAATGTGAATAGTTAAGTAAACATAAACTCTTCAAACAAAGGCTCCAATTCCTATTCTGTAATCTGAACTAAAATTTTATCTGTGATTTATTTGTCAGATAGCATCTTTAGTTCTAAACCGATTTTCAACTAGAAACTGAATATAGCTTTCAAAATAAATTCTAGCTTTATTTTCAATTTGGGTGCAACTGGATGACAAGATCTAGTTTTTATACCAACTTGTTGCAGTCACAAAATGGACTATATAATCAATGTACA